GGAATCCAGGACAGATAAACCCCTCAGGACCAATAATGGGAGTAGCGATTCCAGGAGGGTAGGGGGAAAGTTGGGGGGAAAGGGGGGAACCGACCACAATGATTGATAAACTCCCTCTGGGGGTGGGGGGACGAACAACAAAAAAGAGGGTGGAGGGAGGCAGCAGACGATGTAAGATATGAAAATAATTTATAATTTATCAAGGTTCATAAGAGAGAGGTGAAAAATGAGCTGATACCAAGGGCTCAAGTAGAAATATTTTGAAAATGATGATGGCAACATATGTATACAAAAGTTTGACACAATGGATGTATGGATTGTGGTAACAGCTGTAAGAGGCCTCAGTAAAGTTTTTTGAAAAATATATATGAGGGGGTACCCCCCAAGATGGATCCCCTCCAAAGCTATGCAGTTACTATAATAAATGAACTTTATCACCTTCACACTAAAAAAGAATATATTGATTAATCTTTGTTGTATATTTACTTTGTGACAGCTGGATAAAAGAAAAGCTAACGTGATTTTTATTTTTAAAAGATGACTTAATAGGATTAACTAGTTGTTTTCTTATTATTTTAAGTACTTGGTTGCTAACCAAAAGGTCAGCAGTGTGAACCTACATCCTCCTTCTAGGGAGGATGTTGCATTGTGCTTTTGTAAACATTATCGCCACGGAAATTCCATGGGGCCGTTCTACTGTTCCCTATAGGTTCACTGTGATTCAAAATAGACTAGATAGGAATGAGTTTGGGTTGTTTGAAATTTAGATACGCCCTTACACAACTTGAAGATGGCATATAAAGTGTGACTCGGGGGGAGGGAGCATTAGAACCATTACTTTTTAAAAGCGATTTAACTGTGTAAGTGCATATGTGAATACTGTATCAAGAAAACTATTAAAAAACAATGAAAAAAAAGAAACCAAACTTGACAATTGACCAGTGGTTACCATGGGTGGAGGAGAGTTGTTGCTTAGAGGGGATTGAATTTTATGTTAATTGTGGCAGAATAATTTGGAAAAGGTTTTTAATAATGGTTGTACAACACAAAGAGTCTCATCAATTGCACTGAATTTTACATATAGAAGTTATTGAATTGGAGAGTGTTTTGTGTATATTTTTTCCACAATTAAAAAAATAATTACATGAACAACAGTGAGTATAAGGAAGAAAATGTTCTAGAATTGATTGTGGTGATGATTGTACAACTTTTCTTGATATGACAGAATTATTGAATTGTATGACATGTGGATGAAGTTCCCAAAAACCTTTTTTTAAAAAAATGACTGTTATACATTTACAAACATACTAATTTTTTTTCCCTTCCAAATAAAAACAACACAGCTTTTATCCCAGTTTATTTCTCCGTTTACTGGATGCATTTATTCAAGGCACATAACAGGTAATTTTTTTTGTATTTTATTGTAATTTAAATTTAAATAACTTACATAAATCAGGAGTGAAAAAAATTTTCATTTAAAATTTAAGATAACTAGCAAATTGTCATATAGTACTAGAAATCATTATTAAGCGGAATATTCAGAGACTGGATTTTATGCTTTGGGAAACTCTTTTTAGGCTAATAGGAATATTGTTGATTTGCATGACTTATGCTTATAGATAACTGACAACATGCAGAAAACTTGGGCTTTAAGAGAAATTGTGTTAGTGCTTTGGAGCATACAATAAGCAGGAGCCCTGGTGGTGTAGTGGGTTACCTGGCAGACTGCTAGTCACAAGGGCAGAGTTTAGACTCACAAGCGATTCCACAGAAGGGTGAGGCTGTCTACTTCTGTCAAGTTTCCCAGCTTTGGAAACGCACAGAGGCAGTTCTGCACTGTCCTATACGAATTGGAATCGTCTCAATGGCAGTTGGTGTTTTTAGTTGTGTGACAGTCATTCTTAAACTATTATTAGTTAAACCGGCTGCTTGCAAACTATGACCCAGGCCATAAACCAGCTGCCATCTAATTGGTTTATATAGTGCCTGCTTCAGAGCCACAACAGTGGAGTGGAATCCTTCTGACAGATTATGGCCCCAAACATGTAAAATGCTTTCTGGTCCTGTATAAAAGCAGCCTTGATGGTGCAGTTACACAGTGGACTGATAACCACGACTTTAGTAGTTCACCTGCACTAGTCTGCTCTGCAGGAGAAAGATGAAGCTGTCTGCTCCCATAAAGATTTACAGCCTTAGAAACTCGAGGGGGCAGTTCTGTGTCCCATAGTGTAAGTGTGAATTAGAATTGACTTGCTGGCACTGGGTGTAGTTTTTGGTGGTTTTGGTCATATACAGAAAAAGTATGCTGACTTAAACTAATGTTAAAGACTTTATATGAATTATGAATAACAATTTGCTCCCTTTATCCCTTTTAAACAGGCCTTTGTGGGAAGAAACAGAAAGAAATCACAAAAGCAATTAAGAGGGCGCAGATAATGGGTAAGAACATCTTAACAACTGAGCTAGGCTAATGACAATTTTGTTGTCTATTGTGAAGAACTTTAATACTTATTTCTTTACAGGTTTTATGCCAGTCACTTACAAGGATCCTGCATATCTCAAAGACCCCAAAGTTTGTAACATCAAATATCGGGAGTAAATTATATAAGATTATTACCAATAAACTTACTTTATAGTAAATGGTTGTGTGGTGCTAATCCTGATTCAAATTAAACTTCAACAACTTTTGGATAGAGGTAAGCTAAATCTTACTGCATGATATTAAGGATTTCTGGTTGAAGAACTTTGAGATCATGTGGGGAAGAAATGAGATTAGGGTGACACATCCCCTTCAGGCTAATGTTTATACCTCAAATGTTAATATTAAGACAATGTATCTTGAATCAGTAAAAGTGGTATTCTATGGAGTCACATATTTGGTCTACAAATAGCTTGTATAGTCTACCACTGATAGCAATAGTGAACATGAGAAGTACTACCTGTGTTGGAAGTTTTAGACCTAGCTTTTGCTTTATAAGTGGAACAAAGCTAGGTACAGGAGGGTTGAATGCTTAACAATGTATGTATCCCATGTGACTGGCTGTGGAGTAGAAATTGCTCTGAAAGATATTCTAAGTCAGTGGTTCTCAACCTTCCTAATGCCACGGCCCTTTAATACAGCTCATATTGTGGTGACCCTCAACCATAAACTTATTTTCATTGCTACTTCATAACTGTAATTTTGCTACTGTTATGAATTGGGCGACCCGCAGGTTGAGAACCACTCTTCTAAGTAGAGCTATGGCTTGGGGGTGGATATTTGGAGCTGTAACAGGACATAACATTTCCTCTGAGACTAGTATATCCTTAGATCATTAGTGTGCCCTTTGAAGTACACTGATGATGAATTTGCAGCCTACATTCACCTGCCTCATACCAGTGACACAGACTAACTCCCAATAGATGGAGAGTCATCAGCCGAAACAAAATTTTTGTGTTCTCTTTTGCTTTTTAGTTCATGGATAGATACTCTGAATGTTGCTCATCAAATTGTGGAAGTTTCACTACTACTGCGTCTGTCATTATTTATATTCTGTGTAATAAGCTCTATAGACTCTGTGGCTATTTTAAAACATAAGGTTTATACTGAAACCTTTTCCCCTTCTGAAGAACAGAGCATTTCCTATATACAGGTAGTCCCTGGGTTCCAAGCAAGATCTGTTCCTGAGTATCTTTAAGAATTTGTAGGTCAATTGGAACAGGTGCGTAAGGTTCACATTTATCAAGAAAGCCACCCTGGGGACATAGTGGTTTATGCATTGGGTTGGTAACCTCTAAGTCAAGTTTTAAACCATCAGTCACTCCTCAGAAGAAAGCCAGGGCTCTCTATTTCCATAGTTAGTCGCAGAATCTCACAGGGGCAGCTCTATCCTGTCCTACAGGGTCACTGGGAGAGTCAGAATCGACTTGATGGCACTGAGTTTGATTTTGGCTTAGTGCAAGAAAAGGCTTGATGTTTTTTCAATCATTTGAAAGCTGTACTCAGGAAGTTAAGGCACTGTGATGAGAAACCCGGGAACTGCCTGTAACCAGTAAAGCAACACCTCAGCAGTCAAGTCGTTTGATACTACATGTGCTTCATACATGTTAAAGTAGGTTAGCAGTTTTTACTAGTGAGATGAAATTGCTCCATCACGTACAATTTCACTTACTAGTGAAAACATTTTGCAACGTGCGTACTTACGAAAATACTAATTGAAGAAGATAATTACATCTGCATTTGATGCACAGCTGTGTGAAAGATTTATAAAAGCTCAATCAACTTGCTGGATTAAATTGGGGCTTCTTAGCCTTGCTGAAGCAATAAGAACTCTAATTCATGGATTTATACTTAGGACAGCTCCTGGCCCTACATGAAAAGGCTGGCAAACTGGCTATCAAAAAGTATAGCGTCTGGGGTCTTAAAGGCTTGAAGGTAATCAAGCGGCCATCAAGCTCAGAAGCAACAAAGCCCACATGGAAGAAGCTCACCAGCCTATACAACCACGAGGTGTTGAAGGGATCAGGTATAAGGCATCATCAGAACAAAAAATCTTACCATAGTGAATGATGGGGGCAGTGCGGAGTGGAGACCCAAAGCCCATTAGTAGGCCACTGGAGATCCCCTTGCAGAGGGGTCTCGAGGAGGAGACGAGCCAGTCAGGGTGCGATGTAACAACGATGAGAAATACAACTTTCCTCTAGTTCCTAAATGTTTCCTCCCCGCTCCCACTACCATGACTCAAATTCGATCTTGCAAGACTGGCTAGACCAGAGGATGTACACTGGTACAGATAGGAACTGAAAATACAGGGAATCCAGGGCGGATGAGCCCTACAGGGCCAATGGTGTGAATGGCGATACTGGGAAGGTAGAGGGACAGTGGGTAGGAAAGAGGGAACCGATTATAAGGAACTATATGTGACCTCCTCCCTGGGGGACAGACAACAGAAAAGTGGGTGAAGGGAGACGTCGGACAGGGCAAGATATGACAAAATAACAATTTATAAACTATTACGGGCTCATGAGGGAGTGGGGAGCAGGGAGGGAGGTGAAAAATGACCTAATGCCGGGGGTTTAAGTGGAGAGAAAATGTTTTGAGAATGATGAGGGCAATGAATGTACAAATGCGCTTTACACAATTGATGTGTGTATGGATTGTGATAAGAGTTGTATGAGCCCCTAATAAAATGATTTTAAAAAAAAGGCTGGCAAATACATTGATAACCTCAACTTTAAAACTCAATTCATCCCAAATGTATGTTCAAACAAACACTGAAAAGTTTGAGAACTGAATTTATTTTTCACATTAAGAAATAATGGGAAACCAAATAATTAGTTCTAAGGCCCCAAAATTACACTTAAAAATTTACAATTGGGGTGTTTAGACTTCTCCAATGTCATAGTCTCGGATATGCTGTCACCAGTGAGTTGTTTCTGATGTATCCAAATTAACAGTTAACTTTTCAACCTCTGATGGCCTGGGTGCTTTATTTCGTGGCTAACGAGTTCACACCTTTTGCTGCATTAGCCACTTTAATCACATGTCCCCCCCCCAAAAAAAATGTTGATGTCAATAGTTATGTTGTGTTTACTCCCATTTGACCAGTGGCAACTCAATTTCTTTAACTGTTATAGTTCTCAGGTTTCCTGTGAGTTTTACTGCTGGTATCACTAACTTTCTCTGGAGCCATAGCTACCATATTTTATGCACACAAAAAAAGCACATTTTTAACACTAACCTAAGCACTGTATTGTTGTTTGAGAGTGCCGCTGAGACTGAAGCAGCATCACCCTTTTGTATCCGATGTGAGACATAAAGTGTGACCCACTCTTATCCCATACAGGTTTTCTCAAGTTGGATTTTCAGCTTGTCTATTGAGCAAAGTACTGAATACCAAGCAGACTTTTTTGAACTTTGCTGTTCAAGTACTGGAAAGTTCGAGCTTGGAGTCTTGGACAATTGCGGTATCACTGTAAATGCACTTTTTTACTTGGTTAAAATATTGCTAATATACATTAATACATGTGCACGTATATGAGTGGGCTTTAAAAATTTTAAGAAGCAAATAACAGAAGTCAAAAAGTATTGCTGCTGTGTTTCCAAATCACACTTGCATTGCTTTATTGCAAACAAAAGATGTTTAAGCATGTTTTTGCCATCAATGGATAGCTATACTGAAGACATACTCCTTCAAAAAAAAGATACTTAAAGTATTGCACAAATACCAGCTAGCTCAAAGAACTAGTCTTTTCATCAGCCTTTTAAGCAAGATTGACGCTAATGAAGAGTTTCAAGGAATGAAAGTAACTGAGGACAAATCTTGGATTTACCAATATAATCCAGAGAACAACATCCAATCAAAACTGCTTTATTTCAGTGCTCTGGAACCACTGGTATCATTTCTAAGTTATATCTGTACACACAAATGTGTGTATGTGTTATAAAGTCCTGGATGCCCTGCTTTAACCATCTATTGATCCTAAAACACAAAGGCTGATACCATACTCAAAATTTAGTCACTCAAAAAAAAAATTTTAGTTACTCAAATGTTAGAGAGAGAGGAATTTAGATTTTGAGGCATTTAGGTTTGTGCCATGATGACAGTTGCAAGTAAAAATACTGGAGACTTAATTAAATATGAACTTCAGATAAAACTATAAAGTTGTTATTTTATCACATACAGTTATTTCCTTAGTAGTATATGAAAATAAAAACCTAAAACAATTTTTTGCTTTGTTTGTGCATGACCCAAAAATGGCATGGTATTCAGTGTTTCATCTGCCAACCACAGCCTTAATGTACTATTTATATTCCTTAAGGAATGGGAACTTTTATGACAGAAAAATAATTGTTCACATTTTCTTCCACATTGTGAAAACATTAATCTCTTTTCCAATTCTAAAGAATGAAAATGCACCTATTTAAGTCATTCCTTGTAGAGGCAAAACATTTGATTTTATAATAAAAGTATCTTATATTTTAAAAAAGTACTTTATAAAGTAAACATGCATTAGAATTTATGCATTACTACAAATAGTGCAACACAATAAAAACAATAGGAATGTTTGGTTTTGCCCTTCAGCCAATCAAAAATTTCTTTGTCTAAGAGAATCAAAACGTAGGCGAGTGTGGATATTCATCAGAGTCCTTCATCTTCTCCATGTCTTCATCTGTTTCTGGACTGCTCCCTGCCGATGCTCTGTCGTGGTTGCTGCTATCAGTATCTGTTTTAAATTGATTGTTTTGTGTCTCTAGTAGCCGTGATTTCTTGATCTGCAACCCATCGTCCATGTCTAAGGCTTTGCGCTTACTTATTTGCTGCATGCAAGCTTGACTAGCTCCAGGAGCACTGGTGTATTCTACCATTAAAGTCAGTTTGTCTACCACATCAACATGGGTAGTATTACAGCAAGTTTCAGATAGGTGCCTATTTTGCAAAGAGATAACACATGATTGAAGGAGTTTAGAATCAGGAAATAAAGTCTGTAAAGCTTGACAAAGAAAGATATTCTCCTGAGGTTCTTCGGGGACATTCTTTTCTCCTAAACAAAGTAAAATCATAGTTCAACACACAGAACGTTTATAATTAGTAATTTTAAAAGTATTTTACCTAAACACTTGTATCAAATTATTACAATGAGAAAATATGTGTAATCACACATTCTAATTTAGACATTTTCATTACTGTATTCATATTTTTGGTTTCTAATTTTGTGAAGTCACACAATATTCTAAAAAAAAAATTAAATGTAAGCCAAATTCTTTAAAATAAAAAATATAGTGTTGTTGTTAGGTACCACTGAGTCAGTTCCAACCCAGAGTGACCACATGCACAACAGAATGAAACACTGCACAGTCCTGTGGTGTCCATTGCAATTGTTCCTATGCCTGGGCCCATTGTTGCAGCCAGTGTCAATCCATATAGCATAGCTTTTGTAACACCATGTTCTTTGTTCAGTGCAGTTTAAAAATACTAATAAAATTACTGCTCTTAAACTCAAAGTGGACAGTCCCATTGTACTTTGTGAAGTTGGCTGATACGTAAGTTCAAATCAGTGAGAATTTTTTTCAAAGTAAAGGAAATACTGATGTGTTTTACTTAGTACCTGCTGCATGGATCTGCATTTGTTTTCTTTTTTTAATTTCTTGTTTTAATATGTTCACCTCTTCTAGTAGTTTCTCTACTGCTCTCTCACTGTGTTCCACTTCTTTGCATACAGTCTGTAAAATAAGACCACATATAAAATTTCCAGGATATACATGTCTAGCTCAGTGTTTCCCAAGTAAGTGATACCACCTTTGAGGTGTGCTAGAACAATACAGGGGGCCTGCAAAAGCAGGTACCTACACTTTGCCCTGGATTATGGACAATAGTACAAAAGTTTTTCATTGTCAGAGTAGGCCAAGTAAGTGTGAGAATCTAGATTCAGAAATAATATTTTTGGTAACAGATAGTACCAAGTATCATTACCTTTATATAAATTTTATTACTTCTTAGAGGACCTCAATAACAACAGGTACTAATATGATACTTTAAATGTTATAAAATGCTTTCCAAATGTACTGTTTTTCTTTCACACATGTTTATAATGAGTTATTTCCTTGATAAAACAGAAAAATAAAAACCTAAAATAATATTTAACCAAAATGATTCTTTACTATTATGAGACATAATACCCATGCTTAAACATAAAGAAACTGATAATACAGGAAAAGAGACTACTTTATTGTTATGAAAGCAAACTATTAAAGATGTAAATTCCTACAGGAAAGTAATTTTGGAAAAAAAAATGCTTTTGAGAAGCAGCCTTCCCTTTGTGTCACCAGTTTTAACCTTTGAGTGATACTATTTTGAAAATATATTTTAACTGAAGAAAACTTACAAAATTTACTGTAACGTTAAGTCACACTATCTTATTACAGGGTCATGAATTGTTCTAGCCAGTTTTCGTGGATAATTTAGGTCTCTGCCCAGCCTACTTTGCTCGTCCTGCCCATCAGGGTTGCCCAGTGAGCCTTCACCTTTTCTGTCTCTTACTTTCAACCTACCGTATATACTGGAGTATAAGCCCACCCAAATATCAGCCGAGGCACCTAATTTTACCACAAAAACTGCATTAAAAATGTGCTGGGCGTAAAAAAAGAGACTCAAGCAAGGAAAAAAAATGTGCTGAAAAACTCGGCTTATACACGAGTACATATGGTACCTTCACCAAAACTGACCTAAGTAGAACCAACCAGATGGTCTCCTGGGAATTGGAGATATTACCAAGCCAATTGGTAAATCCCAATCTCCAACTGAAGTGAGGAGCTGTGCACTAGCCATTTGATGGTCCACCATTGGAGATAAATGGAGGAAACCAATATGCAGGCATAGCAAGCTCTGATGGCTGCTGATTCTAATTCCTTCCTAAAGGCCAGAGTTCCTGGGATATATCCCGAAGAAGAAAGTAAAGAAACTAAAGTCACTACCATGGAGTTGATTACAATCATAGGAGTAGAACTAATCTACGGGGTACTGAGGCCTTAAACTCTTTATGGAGTGGGACAGAACTGGTGACATAGTTGTGCCGTAAAAATTGCAGCCAAAAATAAATAAAAATTACAGCCAAGAAAATCCTATGGGGCAGTTCTACTCTTCCATCTGGGGTTACTTTGAGCCAGAATTGACTCCCCTTCACTGAACAACCTGAAGTCATCCCTAGTCACCTTTAAAAATGATTATTTAGGTATGCAGTAAGAGTACTGTTTTTACCAAGGGCTCAATAGAAAGCAAATGTCTAGAAAAGAATGATGGCAACATATGTACAAATATGCCTGATACAACTGATTGTTATAAGAGTTGTAAGAGCCCCCAATAAAATGATCTTTTTTAAAAAAAAAAAATCATTTTATTAGGGGCTCATACAACTCTTATCCCAATCCACACACACATCAATTGTGTAAAGCGCATTTGTACATTCATTGCCCTCATCATTCTCAAAACATTTTCTCT